CACAACAAATTTACAACAAAAAAGCTACAATTAATGCCGTTGTAACGTTTTCAATATCTCAATTCTATCGACTAGGTGTATGGTGTCAAGTTAGCACTACATACCATTTTTTTCTTAAAAAACGAGAGCTACAAATTTTTTCTTTCCACAACAAATTTTAAAGCTAAAAGCTACAATTAATGCCGTTATAACATTTTCAATATCTCAATTCTATCGAGTAGGTGTATGGTGTCAAGTTAGCACTACATACCATTTTTTCTTAAAAAACGAAATCTTCAAATTTTTTCTTTCCACAACAAATTTACAACAAAAAAGCTACAATTAATGCCGTTGTAACATTTTCAATATCTCAATTCTGTCGTGAATGGTGCATGGTGTCAAGTTAGCACTACATACTAGATTTTGTTCGAAAAAGGGTCAACTCAATTTTTTCCAGAAAAACGAAAGCTACAAATTTTTTCTTTCCACAACAAATTTTAAAGTTAAAAGCTACAATTAATGGCATAGTAACATATTGGATATCTCAATGCTATCGACTAGGTGTATGGTGTCAAGTTAGCACCACATACCATTTTTTCTTAAAAAACGAGAGCTACAAATTTTTTCTTTCCACAACAAATTTGCAACAAAAACACTACAATTAATGCCGTAGTTAACTTTTACAATTTCGAAAAGTGTAGTGCTAACTTGACACACGTCATAACATCCTCAGCCAAAAATTACCAAAAATCAAAGCGATCTTTAGCAACAGCAAACTTGGACTTATTATACTAAAATTTAATTATCTATAAAAAATGCATACCAAAAATGTTTTAATAAATTGTGAATAAAAACCTTGAAATTTAGGTGCAACATTGTAAAATTTTTCTAATTTTTGTGCAAAGTTTGAATATTTGATTTATTTAGTTTTTATTAGATAATGAGTATTTAACATAAATAGTGAAAAGGAGTTGTTAAACCGTATATTAGGCGGGCGAGACTGCGGCCAAAAAATAGTAGTATACAATTTGCATAAACATCCTAGCTACATACGTTATTGTAATTTACGCCAAAAAATATTTGAATTGGTACCACTGTGCAACGGTAGTATTTTTCGCAGGAAGAGCTAATGCTAAAATACACGATAAATGATACTAAGTATAACTTCAATGAATTTACAGTCGAGAATATCAGCATAAAATAAAGACAAATCGTCATTGCCGTCACAACAGGCATTACCACAAAGTGTTGTTAAGCGTAGAAACTAGCGACTGCCACCCGCGCGGATTTAATGAACGGTGCCAAACGAACGGCGACAATAGCCCAGAGCTGCAGCCACCAACAAAGATATAACCAACAGCGAATGTTTTCGTCGCCCATACTAAAATTAAGGAACCAACAATAAAGCCACTTGTGACTCACTTGAAAAAAAATTTAACGCTTAATGTGCCCGATGAATCGTTCAAGTGGCTTCGAAGATATTCCATTCGCTTATGTACATATGTATGTATGTATGTAGATAGTAATTGTCAATGCAACACGAGCGACTCATGCTGTGATCTGTGGAGTGCAGGCATATCACTTGGCTATGTACATATGTAGCTTATGTTTTCAATCTACACACATTTTTGTGACTTACAACAAGCAGTAGTTATTATGAACTGTCACATGCAAATGGTGGATTAAGCTATTTGAATAATGCATTAAGAGTAGCGAATCGTAAACTGGTAATTAATTATAAGTAAATGTACATATGTATGTATCTGTACTTGATATCTACACAAGAGTATAAATTTATATTTTAGAAATTGACATGCACATTTACATATCCCACACCTAGATCTAAAGTGATCGGGATCGGGAAATATAACTTGCTTGTGGATCGCACAGATTCAACGCAATTAATACAAAAACAGGTATAAGAGTAGTTTTTTAGTAAGTGTATATAATCATGAAGAAAACAAATTTTGCATTGATTGGAAGTAAGAACTATGCATTGATTTATGCAAAAAAATTTTCCTCAAATTTTTTTTTTTAGTTGATTACAGTTTAGGTCTATGTTTGCGATATGTATGTACATTCATATTTGAATATCTAAGTAGTTATATGAGGCATTCTTTTTTAAGTCGGACGGATTTCGTAAAAAATGATGTCATGTCTCCGCATCGCTTCAAAATTGTTTATGGGTTATATGCATGAAATAAGCTAACACGTTCTTCGGAGATATGATATGTCAAAGTTCGAATTTTTTCGTGATTCTGACCATTCATATACTTCTTCAAATCGAGATGGGTTCTACTGATCGTAGAGACTTCATCTTAACGTCGTTTTAAAGCTAGAGAAACGGGCTTAAAATTTCTGTATGTAAGATGGTCATGATTGCCGTAAAGCTAACTTAGCTATTAACAGTTGAACTTTTTGAAGTTGATTTGCATTGTGAATACCAGTAGACTAGGGATTTAAAATAATACCATCTTAATCCTTATGTAATTCTCTATAAAAAAATATGTTTCAAAAAATTGGTGCTGGTCAGGAACTATTTTTAAAATATATATATATTTTTTTTTAAGATTAGATGGTTTATTTTGTCAACAATTTTTTTAATATGTTTTCGAAAACTTATGATGAGGTACATATACATATGGCAAGAAAAACGTAGATTTTATTGCGAAATTCGACGGAATATCCTTTCGTTAACAACGTTTGTTCCGTAATATAGATATTTAGCCGAAATCCACAATAAAATCTAAATTTTTGAACCCTAGTTCTAGTTCTTGAAGATTCTTTCATTGAAAAAGTTGTGGAACTAATTCTGTTAACAAAGGGATATTCTGCCGAAATCCGCAATAAAATCTGCGTTTTATTAATTTTGGCCCTCAAATTGCCAGGCCCATTGTAAGGGGTTTGTCGTGTTAAAGAAAAATCTGGCCGTTCAAATATTATTTCTTGATAGGTATTGTATCGGAATCGGCAATAAAATTTCACTCTTTGCAAAAGCCCGATGTTTAACACTTTACCAAATATATCTTAACATAATTTTTCGAAAAAAAAAATTACAAAAAATTGTTGATTCTCACAAAATAAACCATCTCGTCATAAAGAAAAATATTTTAAAAATAGTTCTTGAAAAACCCCAATTTTTTTAATCACGGTTTTTATAGAGAATTAAACAAGGATTACGATAGTAAAATTTTAAATCCCTAATTTACTGGTCTCCACTATGCAAATCAACTTCAAAAAGTTCTTTTTTACTTTAAAGCGACGTTAAGAGGAAGTGCCTACGATAAGCAGAACCCGATATATATATATATATATTTGAAGAAGTATATGATTAGTCAGAATAACGAAAGAAACGAAGAAAAAAAGAGAAAAAATAATCCTCAAATACATCTTAGCTTATTTCATGTATAGAGCCCATCAAAAAAATTAAGCCAATCGAAAGTGTTACACCAAATTTGATGTCCGAAATGAAAAAGAATGCCTCATGTTTTTTTAAACGTGTACAGTGTCGTTTGATTTAACATTGTCCTTTAATGCAACTCTGCTGAGTACTATTTTTACAGATCTACTTTCGTTAATCTTTGACCACATTTGACTTATCACCCACTACGTGAGTTCCACAGGCCATCTACGTATCAGTCGCTAGTCCAACAAAAATTTAATTTTCTCAAATCAGTTCGAAAGGCAGTATGTACAAGGTTCAGGATGCTTTTATATTTTTTTGGCAAAAATTTGTTGCGGCTAAACAAGTAGATATGTAATTAAAAAAAACACGTTTTTTTTAACTTACATTTGTATAGAGAAAAATTAATTTTTTTGAATTTGTGTAATTTAAAACGATATACATTTCCATAGTTGACTACACGTAATATGAATGCATAGTAAAACTCTTTAACTCCTTATGACTAGTTGAAGTCCATAAGTAAATAGGTTCGCTTTTAGAAAAAAGAAATATGCAGATATTCTAAGGTAAAGGCCCTTGCCCATATGATTATCATGTGATAAGAAATAGTCTTTAGTGACTCTTTTGAAGACGGTGTGCCGTATGTATGTTTGTAACTTGACTGTCCTTAGCTGATGTATAAATAGTTGCAAATTTCGCAATAAACTAAAAAGAAAACATAACAAAAACATCTGCCCTTAGCAGCGCAGCCGACGTTTAGTTGTTCTTATGCATATTCATGTACATATGTATGTATATATGTACATTACGGTGGCCCCTAGTTATATTGAGAAAAATTAAATTGTTTAAATTCTCTGTATCAACACCTAGAAATGTGTGAATAGCCTAAAGACTAAAGTATGCAAAGTTTTAGATCAATCAAAAGAGATTTAGAGTTGGCTCAAAGCGCTCAAGGTTTCTTATGTATTTTATATGGGGAAAAGAACTATTTTTCGTAGAAATTGTATAGAATCCTTGAATATCAATATTTTTCAAACGGCAAACTAAGTTTCTCTTCAGAAGACTTCAAAAAATATTACTCAATTGGTTATTTAAAATATGTTTAATATTAACCATGTTTTATGGGTTCCCACATTGCATTTTTTCGGATTTTGGGAAACCCATAGAAAATAGTTAATATTAATAAATTATTAAATAAACCATTGAGTGTTCTTTCTGAAAGTCTCCTGAAGAGAAGAGTTAATCGTTTGAAAAATATTAATTTTCTACCATTTCTACCAAAAAGTTTTTTCTCTATATGAAATACATGGGAAACTTTGCGCGCTTTGAGGCACCTGTAAATCTGTTTTGATGACCTAAAACTTTGCATAGTTTAGTTTTAGGCTGTTCACACATTTCTAGGGAGTGAGACCGAGAACCTGAACTCTTTTCGAAATAAGGGCACCCTAATGAACATATGGCACCCAATTCAAGGAATTTCTGTGGTTACGTATTATTGCAAGGTTGAACAACTGCAAAAACGAACAAAAAAACCCAAAATACTTAGCGCGGGCATCGTAAAAAGGGCTAAAGTTGACAATTATGTACGTAAAAAAAGAAAGAAAAATGCAAAACTTACCTTGGTATGCAATTTGGAGGCGTACGATCCACTTCCCAGGCGGCGAACAATTTCATTGGCACCGGCTTCTGAATATTTTGGCTGCCAACGCCACTGGCCGCGGCAGCGCCATAATTGCTAGTGCTGGTCATAACACCACTATTGCCGCCACTGCTACCAGCACCGCCAACCCCACCAATGCCACTACCGCCAACGCCGGAGCCGCCACCGCCTATGTTGGCGCTAAACTTATCCAACTTGGAGGATTTATCTACCATTTTCATTTGGCAGGCTGTTGGTAGTGCTACACTGGGAGAAAGTCAAAGTGTGGTACCTAGGCGGGTTGCAACACGGCTGTTGTTCGGTTGAACTGGCGGGTGTGATGTATACTTCTTATTTTCTATGCACTTTTGTGTGTAGTTAGAATACGAAGATAGTATAGCTATTAATTTAGTTGTCACTTGTCGTATTATGGTTGCTTCTTTTGAGCACGTTTCATGCCACAATGTTATGTTTACTTAGTTGCACATTAACTGTTTGGTTTCATTAAGTTAAGAACTTTGTTTCTGGAAGTTATTTATTAGACGAGAATTTTGATTCATTGCATTTAGCCGTAGTGGTCGACATTTTTTTCCGTTATATTAAAAAAAAAGTAATATGTACGTATTTACAAAAATAAAACGGTTTGCATAAGAAATTATGCATTGCGCATCTACTTAGATACGAAATTTTATTCATAACTCCAAGTACCTACTCCCACTTCTGTGGTTAAAATTGTATGGACTTGTATATATACAATCATACATACACATGTAAGCCGCAAGAGCAACCCTCATAGGTTCACAACCATAGCGCTTGGAATTTAGCAAATTTACTTTCATATACTATATTCCATGTTCTTTGCCAACAATATTTCGACAGTAATAGCGTTTTAACGCTTAACAAGACTATCAGTATTGTATGTACGTACGTACTGTGAAAGGGCGTGTCGCTTGCCTTTAAATATGGTGCCAGTTTTGAAACAGCTATTCCAGCAAAACTCACATTTCTACTCCATAGCTTCCTTATAATATAGTATCTAAAAGAATATATTTCAGCTGCATTTATTCAAACGCTAAATAAAATTGAAATCGCGCTACAACACTACTTTTTTATTTATTTTCTTGTTGCACATTTTGTATTTGACCGACAAGATTGCTCACTGATTCCATTTCAAAATCTATTCTTCTCAAACTCACCCAGTTTCCCACTCTGTTAAAGAGTCAGTGAATGCATACACATTCATATGCTGCCACATACACACCCCCATTATACAACACAAATTGTGTATTTTACCAGCTCTGGAAACACATCTGTAATTTGGATTCTGCAGATTATTGTTCATTTGACTCTTTATTCCCTTAATCCTTAGCATTATTGCATCTTGGACACTAATATACATACACTCTTTGCTGTTTTATGGCTTTAAATAAGCTTCTCGTATTCGTACTTAACGTGTGGCTTCTTCTACATCTTTTTTAGGTTTTATTTGCAGCACGACTTGGCGTTGCATTGGGGCGCTAGTACGCGTTGCGCTGCCTGCCACAAATACTTCCGATGTGCTCCAAAGTCGCTATCAAACTTGCCTTGCGTTTTTATTTGGCCTCGCATTGAAATCCCCACTGCAGATACACAAATATTTTGAGTGTTGCCACACTAACGAGCAAAATCAAATGATAAGACTGATAAGGTTTCAGCAAATTTCCCACAAAATGTGGCAATAAATAAAACTTAACAAAAAAATACATTTTACAAATCCACAAACGATTGCAACAAATGAATTCTTGTAGGCGCTATTAAAATTGCATTTTTTCGCTAATATTACACTGTGGGAGCACTAGAGAAGCAAAGTGGTGAGTTTGTGCGAATAGGTAGCTGCCGGGAACGCTACAGATAAATTCGCCCTACCCCCTTTTTAATGCACCATCGTTGTGTAAAAGTTTTGGCGTCGGCAAGCGGGAACGCGCAAAACCACCCACAAGCATTTTTCTTTTCTTTGCACACCGATGTTCACGTTAAATTTAAGCTGTCGCTTTCTATATTACTTTTAATTCACTCATACAATTGTACCCTATTTATTGTAGGATTATTAGGGCGAATATAGTTATACGCCAACTCTCTATTTAAGCTACCCACTTCATTTCATACTTTCGTTTTTATGAAATGCATTTCAAGCACTTCAAAATTACAATTTGTATAAACAATCACACAACTTATTTTCACAACCAACGCCGAACAAACCGATCTAAATCCAATTGGACGATTTGTTTTCCTTCTTTACGCTGTCATTTGCGGTAGGAAGGCAAAGAAAATATCGATGTTTGCTATTCCATGTATCGAATGTAACCGATGTAACGTTCCGTTATACATCGATATATCGATGTACATATTTTTTTTCGATGCAATGTACACTGTACATACAAAAATTATTTTGAATGCTTTCAAACTCTTCGCTCTAGTAACTTTCCGAAATGTGGATTTTTCACTATTTAAGCACCATTACATATACATTAATAGAATGTATGTATACTCTCTTAATATTATCTAAAATTTTATTGCACTAATAAATTGCTGCTTCAGTAGAAACGTAGTCGCAAAAGGCCATCTACAAGATGATATTGATACTCTAAAACCATTTGAAAATTTGGACAGATTTTAAACAACTACATATTTCCAATATTGTTTCACGTAGCTTATCAACATAGCGAAATAATATAAAGTGTGACAGCCAGTTTGATGTACGCTTATTTTAAAGCAAAATTTGAGTTTCGTCATTTCGCTTTTTTCAATTCTGGCATTAACCCTTGGTTTTGTTGCATACCTCTGCCCGATTTCGGCATTGATCCTCATCATGGTGGACTGAAAACAGCAGTACTGCGACGTTATGTGTGATTTTGCTCGTACAAGCGACAGGAATTTATTGACATGTGAATTTTTTGCTAAAATCAAGAAACTTCATAATTTTTCACTCAAAAGCGTGAACAGGAAAGTCAAATGAAAGAATAAATTATGACAATAATTTCTCATCTAAGTATACCGAAATAGAATGCCATTGCACATTGCACACATATCGATGCTTCGATTGTTTCATTTACTTGTATATTTTTAATTAAAGAAACTGTTGTTATTTTCATTCATGCATCGAAAATCTCGTGGTTTTTGTTCCATACATCAATATGCTTCGATGCTATATTTCGATGCATCAAATCGAAAAAAATCGATTTTTTTATGCCTTGCATCTCTAATTTGCAGCAGCGGATTTCACCATAGCAAATGTCAACCGAAAACAGAGTGCTGCCAAGTTACAATACCAGTGACGTAATTTTTATTTGAAGAAAAATTGGTGTGAACCGTATTCGATTACTTTTCGTGTACCTAACATTAAAATAAATAAAATAAAATAAACTTTTTAATATACTACGCTTTTATAAATGAACTAAAAAGTAGTAAATAATATTTCTCAGTCCCGTAGAATTTGTTTTGATAACTTTGGATTGTGAAATTTTAGCAAAAGTCATTATAAACAATTTATAAGATTGAAAACGAAAAATGTGGAGCGCATGCAATACAAAGCATTAGATTGAATTTACCATAGTCAAACTACATAAAATTTTCCTAAAATTTCTATAGCGAAAGTACAAATTTGAGATCGAATTCAAGCGGTCGTGATTCATATACCCACACATATATTACGTTTCATATCAATTCAAGTCTGTTACATGCGCCCCATGTTTTTCGTTTTCAACCTCATAATATGTTTATAATGACTTTTGCTAAAATTTCAAAATCAAAAGTTATCAAAACAACGATTGTATTTTTATGAGAAGCTGTTTTTCATGGCAGAAATTCAGTCGGATGTTTGCCATTGCCTGCCGAGGGGCGACCGCTATCCAAGAATACGGCACTCCCAGCGTCAAAAAAAAACCTTTAAAGGCCTTCAAACGCCTCAAAACGGCCACCGGCTCAAATCAACAAACTGGTTCCCAATTGATGCGAAAGTAAGTAGTTTCGGCCTAGGCCCAAACTGCTTCCCTGACTGACACCAACTGGTCCCCAAAGACTAGTTACCAACTTGGCCTAAACTTCTTACCTACTTGTCATTCCGTACCCCAAGTGGTTTCCAAGTCACTCCACCAAATTCACGCTCTGAGACAAACACCATGTGTTCTCTGTCTCTGGCTAGCCCCTTCGAAATTTTTTACTGGGCTATGCGTTACATCTTCGCAAATTTTACCCCTACCGAAACCACATTAATAATTGAACGAAATTCTGATACATATGTATATGTATTTATAAATATTGCATTTAATCAGTTTTTATTAATATTCTCTTCCAACATACGCACATGTATATTTGTATCTACATTAGGATGGTCCAAAAACAGTAAAGTCCGAATTGTAATGCTCTCACCCCCTAGGATTGTTCTATATCGGAAAAAGTATACCCCTATTTTTTATTTTGAAATCAAAAAATATTTAGAGGTTGCTCAAAGCGCTTAAAGTTTTCCAGGTATTTTTGTATTGAAAAAAAACAGCTTTTCGTAGAAATTGTATAGAATTCTTGAGAATCAATAGGGCTGTTCAGGATTTTGTGGAAATGGTCTTGGCTTTGCATATTCGTTGCATTTGTAAATTCACAACAATAAAATGCATACGGTTGCCATGGCAGCAAGCAAAAAATTTGCAACTGCAATTTCAACCGCAAATCCAAGACCATTTCCACAACATCCTGAACAGCCCTAATATTTTTCGATCGGAAAACTCTGGTTCTCTTCAGGAAACTTTCAGTAATAGCACCGTGCGGAAGTCAATTTTAAAAAAATCAATATATTCACAAAACTGGGGGCCAAATATAGTAAAACTGCGTTTTTAATGTTTCTCTCTGACGTCAGCATTTTTTTAAAGTTGTTTGAATTTTCCAGGATATGATTGCATAAAAAAAAAAATATTTAAAAGATTTGGTGCATAGTGGAGTAACAATATGGCTATCAGTTAAAATGAAAAATTCTGTAGAATTAAAAAAAAAATTAATTTTTTGTTTCACCAGGACTAATAAAATGTCCTTTTCAAATTGTATCCTTGAATATCCTTGGAAATTTCCAATATTTATTTTTGAAAGAAATATATGTCAAGGACTAATGTGTAAACTGCCACATCCTCGAATTTCATCCTTCTAACTTGATTAGTTTTAGATAAAAAAATTTACACTTCTCTTTATAAGATATTGATAGTTACAATATTCGTTAATGAAGATACTAAAATAATTACCAAACCATTTTTTTTTTAAGAGATTGAGTCATAAGTAAAAAAGTAGTTTCTCCGAAGTTAGCCTCCGAAATCAAGATATGGGCTTTCAAATTTCGAAATAGGATCTTTGGTGAAAAATTATTTTTTTATTATTATATGTAAATAACTAAAAAACTAAAAATACAGTCTTATTTAAATGGTTTAAAACTTTTTTTTGCAAACTTATACTACAGGTGCTATAAGGGGGCAAAGTTAGGGTCTTCGAAAAATTAAAAACCTTATATTTCAAACAATTTTTAACCGATTTTTAAAAAGTTGGTATCGTTGTAAACGTGATTGGATCCCCTTCTTCTCTTTTGATATGCATATTTGTATACTTTGTATCTAAAAATTTGAGAAAAAACATTTACAAGGAAAAAATTCCTTTTTTTAATAAAAAAATAAATGTTTTAAACACTTATTCTGATATGTGTATTTGTATACTTCGTATATAAAAATTTTAGAAAAAAACTTAAAATGAAAAAATTGCTTTTTTATACAAAAAGAAATAACAAGGAAATTACAAACCGATTTTTAAGAATTTAGTATCGTTGTAAAGGCGGTTGAAACGCCTTTCTTTTGGTGTGCATATTTGTATACTTCGTGTATAAAAATTTGAGAAAAAACATCTGAAAGCAAAATATACCTTTCTTTTATAAAGAAAAATATTTTAAGCAAAAAAATTACTAACCGATTTTTATAAAATTGGTATCGTTGTAAAGGCTACCAGAAAACTTATACTTTCTTAAACCCATAAATTTGTATTTATATACACAAAAAAAAATTAATGCACACATTTTTTTCCTCTATATAAACTCCTGCCCCCCTAAATGAAAGGCGTGGCTACGCTTTTGTATACAAAAAATTAAAGTACTTAAACCGGTTTAACTTCATATATTTTCATTTTTTTTTCAAATAAAATTAAGTCTTTTCGAAAATGTGCACTAAACATGATAGTGTTTTCTCCTACTTACATATAATTTATATTAAAATCTAATAACCCACTCCATTTCCTAGTATTACCATTTGCATTTATTTATAAAAATCATAATATGCACTAGAAAACACGCACTTTAGATACAAAAATATATACATGGTTTGGGGTTCTATACAAACCAGTGATGCTCAAAACAGCGCCCACGGGCGGAACTCTTCAAAGCGTTCTGTAGATTTTATATGAACGCGCACAGTAAAAGCCCGATCTCAGCATCACTGCTATAACCCGAAGAGCCAATAGTGTAGCTCTCACTGAATTATACCATATTATTTACTTAATTCGCCTATCGATTTTATTTTTTATTAACTCAATTTCTCTCCCATTGTTCTTGTTCTCCGCTTAAGTATTGACTATCGCTCCATCCACCACTCTGAGATTCGTCTAAATCCTTTTTTATTTCTTTCGACCAATGTCTGGAACTTGCATAGTTAAATTGTGGCTTACGCGCTCCAATATGAACTACATAGTCCACAGCATTGCCTTCGTGGTTGGCGGATGCTTCCGGTATCGCATCGCAGTCATTGGGCAATTCTTTGAGACACTGTTGTAGATGATTAATATAGTTGATTGCAATGCTGAAATATTTACTATATTTAATTATACTGCTTTATATGTCTATGTTCAAAAATAATAAAAAAAGGACAATTTTATTTTATGCGTACCGTAAGCTTTCTATTTTCGAATACTTCTTTCCATTTGGCTTCGAAATTGGCAGTTTAGATCGCAGCAAATCGAACGCCCGGTTCATGTCCCGCATACGTGTGCGTTCTCTATCACAGGCAGTCTTTTTATAATCTGTGGATACAAAAAATGTGAGTAAACTCATAATTGGACGTGAATTATTTATTAAAAAAAAAAACATTGATATTTGCTCCTAGACGAGAGTGACATCGGCCGAAAGCAGAAACATTTCAAATGGTTAAAAAACACCAAATGTTTAGAATTTGATTGAAGGACACCCTCTCTCAGCAAATGGTTCAAAAATCGCTTATCAAGCTACGTGGTTGTCTCCAGATCGAGAAACGAGAAACCAAATCGATCATGTTGTTATAGATGGAAGGCGCGCTTACAGTGTTTTGGACGTACGTACACTCCCAGGCCCAAACATCGACTCGAACAATAATTTTGTTGCAACCAAGATATGTAGCCGTCTCTGTGCAGCAAAAAATGTGCGCCTAAAAATGTAAGGAAAGCTTGACGTTCAAAAGCTGCAGTTACAGCAGATGGCCAATGCATTCCCTACTCGACTCGCATACCTGCTCACAGCGAGCACTCTTCAACAAACCCACATATGCGAGTAGTGGAACCTCATTTCCCTTTGATTAGGTACCGTCGCCGAAGAAGTAGCCGAATTTAAAGGATCTCGAAAGAACAACTGGTAGGATTAGGAGTGTTAAGAAGCTGCAGATGCCGCCTTTATGGCCACGCTGAGATCGGGCGCAACGCGAGCCATGTTGGACCCTTATAAAGAGTTGAAGAGGGAAGCGATACGTATTTGCCACAATAAGAGAGAGACCGAAATTCGGCAGTGCGAAGAGCTTGAAATGCTGGCCGGCAGGGAGAATGTCCGAAAATTTTACCAAAGGGATAGGCGACTCACGAATGGTTTTAAGACCAGGGCGAACTGTTGTAAGAACAACAATGGCGACCTAGTGACTGATGTGCAGAACGTACTTAAATTATAGAGGCAAAACTTGTCCACCCTACTGAATGGTAACAGCAATGAAAGCTGTGGAGAAGACGAACCCGATCCCCCATTCGATGATGACAGAGTTGATGCTGCACCACCTGACTATGACAAGGTACGAATAGCAATAGCGCGCTTGAAAAGCAACAAAGCTGCTGGAACAGACTGCCAGCTGAGCTATTCAAGAACGGCGGCGAGGAGTTGATAAGGTGCATGCATCACCTCTTGGTCAGAATATGGTCAGATGCATGCCCGACGACTTGAATTTAAGTGTGCTCTGCCCAATCCACGAGAAAGGCGACCCTGTCATTTGCACCAACTACCGCGGGATCAGCCTGCTAAGCATAGGTTACAAGTGTATTGTGTGAAAGACAGAAGCCCACCGTAATCGAACTGATGGGATCTCACTACTCTGGCTTTAGACCTGGCAAATCCACCATAGATCAGTTATTCACCATCTATTTGTCAATTTCAAAGCCGCTTTCGGCAGCATGAAAAGAAGTAGTCTTTATGCCCCGCGAAACTAATACGGCTGAGTAAAGTGACCTGGAGCATTACCAGCTCCGTCAAGACCTCTCTGAGCCATTTTATACCAAACGAGGTTACAGAGAAGGTCACTGTTGACAGTTATAAGTTTGAAAAAGTAAACGACTTCGTTTATTTGGGAACCAGAATTAACACCAATAATAATCCTAGCCTTGAAATCCAACGGAGGAGCCAACAAGTGCTACTTTGAAAACATTTTATTAAGCGGCTCTTGGAAATTTCGAGAGAAAGATTTTGCGAAAGATTAACGGGCCTTTTAGCGTTGGCGACGACGAATACCGCAAACGATTTATCGAGTGCAGCGAATTAAAAACCACGTTGTTCGAATGGACTGAAACGATACAGCTCTAAAAGTATTCGACGCAGGTTGTGATGCTGGTAACAGAGGAGGAGGATAGGCCTCCTCTTCCTTGGAAAGACCAGGTGGAAAAGGATTTGGCTTCACCTGGCATTTACTGTTGGCGTCAATTGGCACAGATGAGAAATGACTGTCATACTTTGTTGGACTCGGGAAGAATCGCTTTATGACCGGGGAAAATAAACCTTGGGAAATTTTTGGGATAGGTTCCCGAAGAAACTCATACAGTAGTGGGTTTTTAGACAGTCTTAGCCACTCGGCTATTGCAAACCCTCATAAGGAAATCAGGATCAAATTTAATAACCCCGCCGTAGACGATTGGTCAGAGGTACATGCTAAGTACTACTCGTTTTTTCTCTCAGACAATAGACATCATCTCGAAATCAAGTCTTTTACGCAAGTTGTGAAATTTTTTTTCTCTTACCATTGTCTATCGTTGGATGGGACTGAACTGGGGATCTAACAGTCGCAGTCAGAAAAAATTGGGATTTGGAGCCCGGATCTACACAGCTGGAAAAAATGCAAACTAGCTTCTCTGATAAAAAAAAAGAGGTTAAAATACTTAACACGTTACTAAACTTCCAACTGCTTATGCGCAAGAAGGTAGCTTGTAACTCTGCCAATATACTCAACGTTAGAACAGTTAAGAAACTCAGAAGAAATTTGTTACAACCGACCACATCATTTCAACCCATATTATCAACGCCAATATCCTTGCCCAGCGTCCTTCGAGGAAGAAATGAAAAACAGACATTGACAGAAAAAAAATTATAAAGCCTTGTTTACACGGATGGCGGAACTGTTGGTTATTAGCCAAACAGCGAAGACGCTCACATACATATCAGTCATCCCGCTACAAACAAGTACACCCCAATTAATTTAAAAATTCAGGAAAATTGCAAACAATAGATGGCAAGTAGAAGGAACCCGGTTGTCAAATTGCATGTCAACGCATTAACTGGCTAACCAGAATGTAGCACCACAGCCACAAGCTATTTCGCTAGCTTCGTCAGCTACATCAGCAATAATATACCACAACCACAGCTACATATTGTGGACAGTTTAGAGCATTTAGAATATTTTAACTTTTGACAGCTCTTTTTACATACCACAGCCTCATCATTCTGGTTAGCCAGTTAGACTCTTCTCAATCTAAGTAGGCAGAAAAACTGCAAGATCACTGTCTGGTAGAACTACCAGCAACTAGGTGCCAAGCGAACGAGTACTGCGGAAGTAACATGTACGAGGATGGAGAGAAGACCACCCACATCCTTCTTTTTTACTGCCCGGTAATAGCCAAAAGGATATAAATGAGCTTATTTCTTTGACGAACTAAAAAATCTCGTCGCAGTACATTAGTCCAAGTGCATGTTTTAGAGGAACGAGGCTAACTATAATTCACTTACGGTGTCACAAAACTCTCTGAGCCCGTAGGTGAATCCCATCCGGGACTGTCGCCTAACCTCACCTGCGCGTGTTAGATCGATCTGGCTATTTCATATTGATCAAGCTAGCTTACGCTTAGATTTCGAGGTTTATTTGAAAAATGTAAGTGCAGTTAAGTAAAAGGCTAACACTTAAAGCAAGGAATGAATAAACTTGGTAAAAATTCTAAATCTAAACACCAAAATGATCGCTTATTGTCTTCAAACGTCCAAATACATAAAAGTTGCGATCCCGTACGAGTCCGAACTACGCATAAATAGTAAGAATTATCCCGTACTCAATTCTCTGAGAAAAAATAAGAGGTTAAATATAGTATTCTAACTGTCAAAAGTTACGAATTTTAGTCCGAATATTTTTTGCTCTTAAATTCTGGTAAATTTGTCAAATGATCAGATGTAGTGTGTTCGACAACCCAATTCTAAACAAAGTAAAATTACACTCTGATAATGCGCGTTGAAAAATATTTAATTACTTGTTTGAGTGGATTCTGAGGAATTTACATAGCAAAATTTGGAGGTTTTGTTGAAGTTCTTAGAAATTACCATTTTTACTAGAAAGCGATTCCCTCCTTTTCGGTGTAACTCCCTCGCTAAGAGCGAATTTTAATGTTTTGGTAGTTTTAGTAGTTTTAGTTCGAGGAATACGGGCCTACAGAGAGAACCTTATTTACTCTCTTATTTGTCCTCTCAGTTGCCAGAGAACCGGGTACGGAGTTCGGACTCATACGGTATCACCACTTACATATATTTCCTCAGAAATTACAGGATACAAAATATACATCCTTAATGAAAATTCTGTATTTGAACTAGCGAGCTCAACCTTGTGTTGAGATTGGTTTTTGTTATTCATGGAAGATCACAATGGCTGCATTTCTTTATTCATTCTGAAGGTTTGGAATAAACTTTTTTGTTTACTTATTCTTTAGAACGCTCCTGATGATATGTTAACGTATATTTCAAACGCATTCTGTTGTGAAATGGGATTATCCGGAATGTGTAAAGAAATGCAGCCAATATTAATGCCCAAAAAAATACTTTAATTGGCACTTCACACATTTCGTTTAGTTTTTTCGTCAATTTCAGGTGTGCGCCTTGATATTTTCACTAATGAAGGGACCTACAATTTAACGTCGCCTTTGAGCAAAGTATGACAGAAATACACTCGGATGTTTGGCATTGTCTGCCAAAGGTTGTCCCCTATTACGAAAAAAGGCTGGCAATTTTTGCCTTTCGACTATGGCGGCCGTCAAATGTCTAAGTGATATGTAATCAAATTTCTACCGTATTTGCGTGCATATCCATCGATCGGTGTATCACAGGTTCAATGGTGGAAATGAATTTTTTCTAGTTTCGGTCACCCTTTAGCATACAATGGCAGACCCCTGCGTACAATTTTGAAAAAAAAGAACCTTTCTTAAAAATCATCGACGGTTCCGTCGCTCCTCCGTTAGTGGATTAGCATCAAGCCACGACAAGTAGCCGAAGACTCTGGCTCGAATACCCAGCTATTTATAGCCCTGTTCGCGTACGCACTATCCAGTAAAATCCAATAATAATTTTACAGGTTTTTACTGGATGGCGTTTTCGTGGAAAAAACTTCCAAGAATCTAGCAAAAGAGGGGAAATTGAGGGAGCAAAAATGACAGCTGAACTAGCAAGTTTTACTGGATTTTCACTGGATAAATTTTTACTAGTAACTATTTGCTAGTAAGAAAAACAGCTGATGGCATGATGCTTTATGCAATTGACATTACAAAAACAATTGTTTGTGGTGCTTTAAGAGTTCCAATTGACAAAATAAACCTATTTAAATATATGTATATAAAGATTGGAAATACTATTTTTCTTAGAAAATTTCTTCGGAAAATAACAGCTGTTTAAACAACTTGCAACTTCTTGCTGGTTTGGTAAATATTGGCTTACTCTGTGAAATTTGGTTTCTGGCAAGTTACTGGATATTTTTTGCTGGAGAATACGAAAACACAACTTATACCTAGGCTTCATTCGATAGCAAACACTTGGGCGTTTGAAATTTTGCTATATTTTGTATGAATACATACGCGAGTTTGTACAAAGGCGTTTTTTGTCTAAATTGAAATTTATTAACTATGTACGTAAATCGTCCGCTGAGGTGGAACGCAACAATTTTACAACGGGCACTTTTAAAACTCTACCACACATTTTCATAATTACTTTTTTGTGTATAGATACCAATTTCGTCCTTAATTTGTTTTTATTTGTTTCTCACCTTTCTCCAATTGCAGCGCCTTCTCTTTCCAAGACGGGTTCGACTCTTTCGAAATAATGTGTTCGCGTGCCCCAAGATAACTGATACTAATCGGTGGTGGTACCACTTCCGCAAGAGATTTCCTTTTCGCATCCGTCGTCAATGGCCACGAAATCACTGGCTGCGGTATTTGAACAGCATAACTGGAATGTGTACTTGTAGTTATCGACGGCAAGAGCGAAGCAGATGACGATGACGAGGGCGGTGGCGGTGGCGGTGGTGGTGGTGTAGGTGGCGTCAGAGGACTTTCATATTGAATATAAGGATTGCTATATATTGACGGTGGGAAATGAGCAGCAATCAGTGGCAGCATGTGGGACTCGCTGGACGAAAGTACGGCGTATGGTTGGTAGTGAGTTGTTGTCAAACACGAACTACCATTCAAATGCATATCCAAAGGATAATCCGCTCTGTAAGCAGCTGCATTGCTAGCGCTAACTGGTGGTGGTTTCGGTGTAGTGCCAAGTTCCAATAAAATTGGCTTTTCCGTTTCCGATTGATAAGAATCGGCATCGTCACAAGCTTCCGCTGTGCCGTCGGTGGTTTTAATAGCATTCGGCACAAGTACCGCCGGCTCATCATTTGCGTTACTACCAAGAAATTCATCGGACATTGTGTAAACTTAATTTGCTCGAAGGCGTTTCTCACTCTTACACAAAAACATATACATATACAAACATACATATGTATACACACAAAAAAATCATATGCAACTATTACAATTAATTTTAGGTACTTTTCATATCATAATTTATAGTAACACTTGATTGTGCGTTTAAGTTTTAACAATAAGAAATTTAAAACCCCATCCGATTAACCGGCGCCGCGTTCGCGCTCTATAGTCGTCCATCAACAGCGAATGCTTTCAGTAAAATGTCACAAGATTTCAGATCGATTCGTTATCGCACCTTTAAGATCACTTTCGTTTTTTAAGCGTTAAAAGTCGAGCTTAGGTTCTCTTTGCGTGGAATATGTGGCAACGTATAAAAATATATGGCTGCCAGTATGGCTGATTTCTATACACCGTGACACACATGCATACGTACATTAACTTATAAAAGGCATGCGCTTATGTACAAACGTACATACATAAGTACCCTGTAGGATGTCGGAATAGACTTAGAGCACTGCACAAACTAGACTGCAAGTTATTGTAAGTAGTCCAAAGTTTGTAAAATTCTATTTACATTTAACTTTAAATGTCCTAGGCTCGGACCAATTGCCCGCTTCTGCATCGCATTGTAACCAATTTTTGGGGGAAAAAAAAAACAAAAATAGAATTTGCGTCAACTGCGATTCGAACCGGGGTACTCAGATTTTCTAAGCGGATAAATACTTTCTGTCCGCACATGAAAATTCGTTGACTAAAGGTGAAATTAGTCAAGAACGTAAACCTACCGGTACGTAACCCTGAGTCAGCTGACACGATCTGTCTTACGAGAGCGCCATGTAAATGAAAACTCAACACCGCAGAATTTTTTTGTAGCAAGAAAAATTGTAGTTGAAAAGATAACTTTATGAAAAGGCATTGATGATTGGCAACACTGTAGTAAGCAACAATCGACAAAATTCTGCAGCTTTTAAGTATATGTTCTGCGTTCTTGACTAATTTCACCTTAAGTGCCTACATATCGGTAAATCGTTAATCATACCCATTGTCCGCTACGGCGTGACATTATAACCAATTTTAGAACAATTTTCATTCCGTATGCATTACATTCGGACCACTTTTAGTACAATTCACCTGTTTTACATTAAATTGCTTTAAATTTTTGGACTATATTTGGTCTAGATACAAAACTACTATACCTACGACTATACTACTATCGAGCAATGGGACCAACCATTCCTTCAGGGTATGTACATACATACTTACAAATGTATGCACATACATATTAACGCGTGCATTCAAACGCTTGCATCGGAGCCTTGTCGTATTGATGAGCTCTGCTCCAACTTCATTTGTAGTATTTAATACTCCATTCAATATTCAATTTGGTTTTATAAGAATTAGTTTCATAAGTAGATATAATGGCTTATGGTGAGTCTCTTTACTTACGTTACGCATGTCGCCAAGGGAGGACAGCGGTGGTCATTTGAAGGAATTGAGGAGAAATGTCGAAATGTAGCGCGTGACTCAAAAAAATCATTTTATAATGTAACAAAGAATGTATAATATATGCATGTATGTACATATATACTTGTATGTACAAAAAAAAACAAAACAAATTATATAGGGAGGAAAATATAGATTACAAAATAAATAAGAAGTATTTATACATACATAGTTACATATGCCGTAATTTCAGTATTAAAATTAAGTTCTATTTGTTCTCATGGATATGTGAAACAAAAAAAATATAGTTTAAAAAACTAGAAACACGATTTTACTAAATACAATGTGAACTAAAAAGTAAAAAATTATTTATAGACATAAAGATTTCGTTTAAGGGGAATAGGAAGTTCCCTAACTTGATTTGATTCAACTTTTTAATTATAACACCGTGCGACAAAAACCAAAAATTTTTTAAACACACGAAAAAATCAATACACAGAGGGAAAAAATGTTTTTAGTTAAATTTTTTTTTTGTGTATATAAATAGAAATTTTAGGGTTTAACAAAGTATAAGTTTTCTGGTATCCTTTACCACGATAAAATTTTTTAAAAACTGGTGCGTAATTTTTTTGTTTAAAATATTTTTTTTACAAAATAGGGTATTTTTTGCTTTTAAGTGTTTTTTCTCAAATTACATACGTTCCTGACAATATACAGATTTAAATAGAAATTGCATTTTTTAAAGCAATAAACATATGGAAACAAGAAATGGTAAGTCAACGCCGTCTATTTGAGAACTCTATTACAACCACTGAAATTTAACTTAATCTCCCTCACAAATATTTGCATAATGGCAAATTGACTTTATAAACCAAAAATTACACTTATTCCTCAATAGATTCAGAGGTCATAAAGCAATTTATGTCCATATTTTTATAAGTAAATTTATACTTTGTCCCCACTGTGAGATTTAATAAAGATTTAGCCCTGTGACGAGATTTAACGTTAAATTTTTTAAGATTTACCATATAAATTTAAATCTCGAAAGGCAGTAGATTTAAGTAAAATCGGCGGGCACAGCGAGTTTTCTTCATCACAGTGAGATAGCCAGGAGGCATCTGATCGTGGCACTCATTGACCATGGCAATCCGCTGGGCCAAATGTCTCAATGGGGAGCAGTCGAGCTTAAGCTGCTGGATGCGCTCGTCGCGAAAATGGACAGAGACCCCAGCCGACTGCAACAAACAGGGTAAGAACAGCTATACTGGTTAGGAAAAGTATGCACTCTTATATTGATATTAATTTCTCTTCAAATAACCTGACGGTAGTAGCTGTGAAGGCTGGCAAGGATGACACAATACTCCTTGCATCCTGTTACATGCCTCACGACGAGGAGTCGCCACCAAACGAGCTCCGGAAGTTGATGGGAGAGGCCGATAAGGCGAAACGTCCACTCATCATAAGCGCGGACGCCAATGCGCACAACACGGTATGGGGGAATGGAGATACCAATAATAATAAAGATCAATTAGTCTAACCTCATTCCTTCTAACTCGAAAAGATTCTGGATGCCTACATTAGCGGTAAGCTGCCGTAGGCCAGCATATCAAAGGCGCAGCATGCTTACACGAAGGTTAGATCCACTTCCATATCCCTCTTTGGATAAAAAGTCTGCTGAGCTGCAGGAAGACTAACGCGGAGCGGAACAATGCCAGACTGCTCGGACTAGTGCATAGAGGAACTCCTCAGGATGGTGTTCTGTCACCAGTCCTGTGGCTACTCATAGCGAATGAACTTCTGGGATAATTCGAAGGGAAATCACGCAGACTAATTGCCTATGCGGACGACATAGCTATAGTTGTTACGGGGAAATTCCTAGACACCATCAGTAATGTAATGTAAAGCGCTCTTAGGGTCGTACATCGATGGATGACTTCCGCCAACTTTGAGGTAAATGCTGAAAAAACGGATGCGGTACTGTTCACAAGAAGGTACAAAATCCCCGCGTGGAAACCCCCGAGGCTCAACATGGTGGAGCTATCAAGCAAGGATCTTGGAATCTTGAAAGGTTACACCTTTCACCTTTGGTGACCTACCACCAATTGACATCGCAGTGGATAACACTGCAGCGAAATCCGCTATAAGATTGATGGCCTTAGGTGAATTCTCCGCTAATACCTTCGGGCACAGCTCGATATGCAGGGGGATGGAGGACAAAACAGACCACATACCCCCACGCTTCATCTGGGAAAGAAGGTTTCAAGCTACGTTTAAGGAAGCCGGATGGCGCAGGAGCATGCGACCCGCCAGCGGAACGTATAACATCTACACGGATGGATCTTAAATTACAAGAAATACAATACAAAAATCATGGGATAAATCCGTTGGATTTTCTTCGAAGATCATTATTTTTTACCAATTTTTGTATGGTCTAGGAGTAATTGTGGCTCAATGGCAATATTTTATAATATATTAATGATATAATTCATTTATAAACACTATATATAATGTAATAAAATAAAATGTCTATCATACTTGGGCGTACAAAATATTTTATTCGGAATCCCCAGGCCGAAATTGGATTTTTTTTTGCATAAGTTCAAGATTTTTGTAGCAATACATTATTGATATCACTTATTTTTATAAAAGTCCATATGTATGTCAACTAAGAAAATTTCCAACTAAAAGATTTCAAGTTTCAGTGAGTGTATGATTAGCTGTTATTTTGTCAGAATTGGTGCAAAATTATTAGTCAATTGTGATGAGTTTGTGAAATGTTGCGTTAATATAAATAAACAAAATTAGATATGGAAAATAAAGGTCAAGGTATTTATAATAATAATTAGTTAATGTGCATATCGTGTGTGTGTTTGTTTGTTGTTATTTAATGTATTTGTAGTGCGTATTTAAAGAAAAATACTAAACAATATTTTTCTGTTCCATGGAGTAGACCTAGCAAGCTGCCAAGTGCTGACGCGAACTAATAATAAAAAATGCTTAATAATAATTCGATTTTATTTGGGTAATAATTGTTTTTGCTCATTTTTACAAAATTTAACATTTTAAGCGAAGTTCACGTGGAAATCTATGTATCTCCTTTACATAGACTAAAGCAAATTCGGGATTTTTTCACAACGTTAATCTCGAAAACTACTGAACGCATTTGTCAAATTCTTTTTTAATAGAGGTATTACCTTTAGGCCTGAGAATTTCTATAGGGTTCCGATCTGTCGAAAAATTTTAAGATCCGCACCGTTTGTTGGATTACAGAAAATGAGGTGTCAAATGAAAGTGCTTGGCCTCCAGATGTCCAATAATGTATTATTTTTTTAGTAGGGCTGCCACCATTTTTGAAATTATAATAACTTCACAGCTAGTTAGACTATGGTACAAAGTGAAAGGATCACTGAAACCTTAAAAAAGTTTATTCAGATAATAATTTTATGTAGAAAATAATTTAACCTTAAAAATAAATATTCTGATCTCACTTCTTCAATTATGGATACCAGTTCATTAAACAGGCCAAGAAAATTTTGGAAAATCCCAAACCCAAGAACTATTTATTATTATTTAGTACTGATATGAATACCATATATCTCCTGTGCAATTTTTTGCACTGAATCCAGAACTACTCCAGCATGTAAGGTTTATTCTAACCTAAAGGTGTGAAAATGGTATTTTTTGGAATTTTCCTAAACTTATATATTAATTTATATTATATATATTAATAGAAAATATATTTTTTCAAATGTTGGCACAAATTTAACCTTAAAATTCGTTTAATTTAAACTATGCGATTGAAACTACCATATTTGGCCCGCCATTTTGAATTTGTA